GCCGGGGCGGCGACGGCTCACCCGGGCCTGCGCTGGGGGTGCTGGGCTGTACTGGGACGGGCCCCACCGCCTGCTAACCCGAGCCTGTACTGGGACATACTGGGCTGTACTGGGACGGTCCCCACCGCCTGCTAACGGGGGCCTGTACTGGGCTGCACTGGGCTGTACTGGGATGTGACCCACCACCTGCTAATGTGGGCCTTTACTGGGCTGTACTGGGATGGGTGCCACCATCTGCTAACATGGGCCTTTACTGGGCCGTACTGGGATGAGCCCCACCGCCTGCTAACGTGGGCCTTTACTGGGCTGCACTGGGCTGTACTGGGATGTGACCCACCACCTGCTTATGTGGGCCTTTACTGGGCTGTACTGGGACGGGCCTCACTGCCTGCTAATGTGGGCCTTTACTGGGATGTACTGGGATGTGCCCCACCACCTGCTAACATGGGCCTTTACTGGGACATACTGGGCTGTACTGGGACGGGTCCCACCGCCCGCTAACATGGGCCTGCACTGGGCTGCACTGGGCTATACTGGGACATGCCCAACTGTCTGCTGATGCCCGTGAACCCCTTTAGGAAGGGCTGCAGGCATTAGCCTGTACCCATAAGCAGGCAAATGATCCAGTAGCAGTTCTCCATCCTGTGCAGCTAAAAACTTGCTCTAATATTCGTGAGGTTTCACGTTCTCTTATTAAATAGTCAGCAAATCCGCAGACTTGGCAGCAAATACTGCCATTACTGCCATTTATGAGCTTAACGGAAATGGGAAAAAATGTATTTTTAAAGTTACTACTATGGGTGAAACTCAGTTCTTAGCAAGGCAGGAATGATAAGAATCAAAGATCTGAAACGCACTGTACGTACCTGCGTGGCTTCTATGTTGATAACCTTGTAAGATAACTCCTCCGGTCTAGTCAACGCAGCGTGTCTTGATTAAAAACATGAAAAGAGTGCTTAATCACATGAAGACATACAAATAAATGACAAAAGTCAGATTTCATGAAGCTCATGTAGGCATGAAGTTTGGACAATGTCCCTCTTCCTCCTAGGCAAATTAACGTATTGACCCCAATTTGGAGACTTTTCCCTGTCTTAGATGTTTTATGCTAAGTGTAGAAGAGCAGGAATATCTCCGTAGTTGAGATTAAAAGCAGGTAAAACCATTCTGCAGAAATCAACGTAACAAAAAGTCCCATTACCCTTGTGCTCCCTGCCAGGAGGTGGCTACGGTGTTCAAGCCTGTCAGGCTCATCACCTCCAGCAGTTCTGTTCTTAGCTCTGAGACACGGACAGGTATTTGGGGGAGAGGAGAGCTAAAGGGGCTGAAGGGACGTCTCTGCTCCGTGGGACAGGACCAAGCACAGATCGTCCCCTGCTGCTGAGCGCCAGCGTCACTGGGAGGGAATGCAAGGCCGTGCATCCCGGGAGACACCAGTAAGGGAAATGGCTGTCCTTGCCGACAGCCTTAATAAAAAGGTCAAGCCAGGGAAACTGCTCCTCTTTTCTTCCTGCAGGGACCACCTGGGTCAGAATAAAAAAATGCGAAAAACCTGCTGTTCTGTCCCTAAAGCTGTTAAGGGCCAGCTTCAGTCTCTGGGGCTGTCCGCATGGCACTACATCACAAACCCCAGACCAGAAAGGACTTGAGCGTACTCTTCCTCCTCATCAGTTGTGAACAAATTCAGTCGGAATCCTGTCTCGCTGCCACCAGGTTTCTTGATCTCCAGACCTCCCAGCAGCCTGGCCAAAAAGTTCAGTTCTTCTTTAGCAAGAGGGTTAGGGGCTATATTCTCCTGCAGGAAACAGCAATGGGTTCGTTGGTCAGGGTACCAGGGAGATGAGGACTGTAATAATTTTTTTATATTGTTTTCTGATATTACATAAACGTTCTTCAGAGTGATATAAATACATTTCTGCATTGTTAATGGTACAGATTGTGCGGATAACTAGTAATTATCAGCTATGTATTTAAAATGGTTGCTTGAATTTATAGACCCAGGACAAGATAATTTTCCAGCTAAATTGAACAGCTGAGAAATCTGTAAAACCAGCTTTCTGTTTTCTGAAGAGATTAAAATAGGAAGCAAGTACACCATTGCATAAGCCTGTGTGCAAGATTCTTTAGGAAAACGTGCCCTTCCCCTAGCTCAAAAGGGGCTGTGGAGGATTGGATGGGCTTGGAGAAGAACTAAACAGGTTCCCCCGAATTTATCCCGTGAGTGTAGACTAAAAAGATCGCTATTGTTTCCCTGAGAAAGGAGATGAACAAAGGGGAGGGTAGTGCAAGTGTGTAGTAAATGATGTGGAGATGACGGATGTGGGTGTTTCATTCACTGTCCCCATCTATTGAGAGCAAGGGAAGCCGAATGTAAAATCTGGTGGACGTGGTGAAACTGCTCAAAGGAAACACTCCCACCGCGTGTGACCGGCTGCAGGACTCGCTGACACAGACCAGTTAACCAGTTAACCAGTGACAGGAACAGAACACCACTGACCTTTGCATGGGATGCCAAGTTTTTGGATGATCCTGACATGTGTGTCTCTACTGGCCGACTAACACTGTACCTAGAGAGAAGAACACAGGAGGAAAAGCAACCCGTTACTTGTATGGGATACAGGAACTGGAGGGAGCAGCACAGGATCTAAATGTGATTTTAGGATATTTTTCTGAAGACTGTAAATAACTGAAATGAGAAGTTCACTTCTATGGAGTATTGAGGCATTACATGTACGAGCGACAAAGCTGTGAGAAAGAGCACTGCTTTCTCTTATTCTGTGAATGGAAAAATTACTTAAGGCAAACATGGATAAAAGAAAGGATTTCTTGAACGCAATTAAAATTAAATTACATTTCACAGAACATGCAGTGCCAGATGAGAACACTCTTAACTCAGCTCTACTGTAGACGTAAATCAAACTTTTGCTCTTCTCTACAGCTCTTTATACACATCTATCCACATGCGTTCTGTTTCAGGCCATCGCTTTGTAAAGACGTCAAGCTAGTAATAGCGAAAGAGGCAAAAACGCAGACCCAAGGCTGAAGACGTGCTTCTGAACAAATCCATAACCATCAATGTTTACTTCATGTTTCTACGCAGGAGAAAAATGACTTACATATTTGTTCCAAGTTTGAGGACTCTGTCTCCATAAAGATCAAAAGATCCTTCCCTTTGTGGAGTAACATAATTTCCACCAGTGGTGAACTCAGTTCTTTTAACTTCATCTCCATTGCGATTAAACATCCTTAAAAACAAGTCATTATTGAAACATATTTTTATTACTGATTTTCAGTACTTCCTCTGCTTACTGTACAAGAGGAATGGGAATAAAACTCTATTCTCTATGTTGGTAAACGGATAAATGACTAATAGCTAATTTACTGGAATAGAGCATGCCAGAAACAGCTTAGTATTTCATTGCTGGGGGACTTAGTCCCAAATCCTGCCCTTTAAGTAGTACTTACGGGAGGTTCAGCTATCCATGCAACATGAATGACAGGCTAAGCTCGATGCCTATTAGACCTCTGGGACTGACTGTTCCTCCGTGAGCAGCCATACATGCAAGGCACTGCAAACAGCA